AAGTATAGAAAGAAAAAGGTTGACAAACCTATTACGAAAAGCCCTGTCCTGCGTCTGCTTGCTGAAGCCTGATGAGAATGGGTGCTGACCATGTAAGATGAGGTCCTGCTGTAAAGCCAGTGCTTCCAGGTCAGCCTGATTTATGGGCATAGAGAGTGCCCTCATCTGGACAAACAATATATATATAGGATCCAAATCATAATGTTTTCTTTCTTTTGAAGGCCTTCTACAACAATATGAACCACTTGCACTCTAATGTTTTAACATTTGTCACCAGCCTCATCTCTGAGCTGGTGGTGCAACTTCTGATAAACGCTCTGCATCATAGACAATGTTTTTTTCATTCCAATTTGAAAAAGTCAAATTACTCACCAGTCTCACAGAATTTAGAAGAATGCATAATCTCTTAAACTGTACATATCTAGACTTGAATGCATCTGAACAGTTCAAACATTTAACAAATAAATGTGGGATGTAGGTTCTGTTAATTTGAAACATCCATTTCCTGAATACCCCTAATCTGCACTTATCTGTGGTTGCAAATCCTTCACCATGTTTGTAGACTCAAAGTGAAAGACCCATAACAAAATAGCCAATTTTGTTATAAAATGTAAAGAAAGTTTAAATGTGAAACCACACCAACGAAAACATTGGTATGACAATACAAGATGTCTCCCAATAAATGCTCCCAAATCATATAGTTCTTAAGTCACCTGTTGCTGTGCAGGGCTAATGGACCTGTGCACATCAGCAAAGTGTTCAGGCAGCATGTGCTGATGACCAACTGGAAATCCTTGTAAGAGCAAAAATAAGTCATTAACAAGCTACGATCTACCGCAAAAATACAAACAAAAAATATTAACTGCAACATTTAAACAAAACTTCTGGATGTTTCCCATTAGGCTCACCTGCAGAAGGTGGCAGTCTGCTATTGAAGTATTCAGGGGAGGGTGCCCTTTGTGGAAAGAGGGGGGGTGATGGGCCCTTACGTAGTAAGCCATGAAGAGGGGCAGCAGTCCCTGGTGCCCCAGATGCGCCCAATAGACTGCCTATAGGTGTGGGGGAGCCACTACGACCTCCCAAGAGCTCCTAAAATAAATTGAACATTTCTAAAGAAGTCTGTTTTAATGTTATGACACTGAACTTGGATTAAAACAATAAATTAGTAGTGATGCTTTATCATTATTCAATTCTTCAATATTTATCAATCTACACATCTTAGCATAGTCTGAACCAAAACCTGCAAAACAAAGGAATGAGCCAAATTGGTCTACACTTCAAATCCAAAGTGAGGTTGGCATACAAACCTGGAAAATGTTCTTCTGCTGCTGAACAGACATGTGAGCATCCGACGCAGTTATACCTTGATCTGGTGGTTTTTGCTATTTGTGGGAGTGGGGAAGAAAAAAAAAAGTACAGGTGGCACTGCAGCATTAAACCATTTACTCATAATCTAAAATTCCATTTCAGTAGGCATTTGTCTTTCCCGAGTATATTGTGAGTGGGAGGCCTCAGTCACTTCCAGCTCAAGAATAAGCTCCTGTAGTAAAATTGACTGAAACCCCCTGAACTGCAGCACAGCAGGCCCAATGAGAGGGGGTACACACACACACACACACGTGCCAGTTTATGTCCATCATGCAAGCCATTAATCATTTCAAATTACTAAACATATTTCCATAATGATCCTCCATCCAAAGACTATTAATATGGTTTTCATCTCCATTTCCAAATTGATCTGGTTTATGGCCTTCCTAACTTGCACAAAGGACAGTTTTCAGAAAGACGTGTATCAGAACACAAAACACCTCCAGAAAATTGTGTAAATTTATGCCCATCATCTTTTGGTTTACTTCATGTTTCAAAAGGGTAATCTCTTTTCAATCTATTAAATGCACCTATATGGCATCACAGGGTAATTTACTCATTCCATTTCAGCATGCAAATTGCTGTACACCTGGGGAAGGGGAAGGGGCGGGCAACTGAAATACTTACAGAGTTTGTGTTGGGTTTGGGGTGAGTTGGCAGAGTTCCACTTGCCTGCATGCTGCTGACCAATTTATTAAAGGCAGACATGTCTGTGTCACGTGAGTGTGGACGGCTTCTGGAACCGCCAATTAAAGCCTCCTCTAAATGCTCAGCCATGAAAGGGGTGCCATTTCCTCTCTGTGGAGGCGACGCTTTCTTTACATGGGGTTCCGGACCAAGCTTCATTCCCTTCATTTCACCTTCAACTTCCTCCAGCGAAAACACTGCTCCTGAGTTAGCAAGAAAAAGCTCGTTCAAAATCAGTGGTCCTTTTTGGTAATGAACATTTTATTCTATTCACATGTTTTGTTAGGTAATAGGGCTCACTAAATGCTTAGTAAAACAGTTTTCAGAGAGCCTTAAGGCTTAATCTTGAATTTGATTCACATTTCAAAGTCATTGATCAATTTGTTTTAAACCCAACAGCTGTAAACATCCTTATACAAAATATATAAAAATGACAATGAATCAGTCTGACTTCTCAAAACAAAGACAACAAATAAAAAGAAAAAAAAGAAAGACAAGTGTCAAAACTTTTAACCAGTTAACAAGAGGCTTCAGACGTAACTGAAATGTTAAACATAACTAGCACTCACCACTCTCCCTTAGCCGAGCTTTGTTGGCTGAGATGTCAGGGAGATCGGGCTTCAGATCAATTTTAGCCTTGTGTAGCAGTGCCAGAATATCTACTTTCTCCTTGCCATCTGATGAATTAATAGGTGTGAAGAAAGGGGCAGGGCCTTGTCTGGGAGATATGTAGCGTGGTTGAAGCCCTTTAGAAAAGCAAGATATTCCAGTTTAAGTAATTAAAGCATCTTCATATATTTCCCTCACATTACAATGCCATTGCATTAAAATTTTCAGAAAAAGATAGAAAGGAAGTTTAAATATCAAGAACAAAATTTCTTAGGGTTTGCCACATGAAAAGAATTACTACGCACCTGCTAGATTTTCTAGTTCCTCGTGAGGAGTGGACCTCAAACTACTAGACTGGCTGCCTGATGGGCTCTGGGTACTGGAAAACCACTGACTGAAGCGGCTAGCTGATACAGGGCCATCTCCCAAAACATCCTCTATCATCTGAAAGACAAAGAGCCCGCAGGTTAGACCAGGAAACAAAAACCTGCAGATTGAAGGATGCAAGAACAAAGGTGACACTTACGTTTAGAGCGCTTTCCATCGATTTAGCACAAAAAGTGCTTGAAGGGTGAGGGCATTATCAGTGAATGCACTGCTGTTAAGCATTGTAGTGATTTGTCACCACAAATAAGATTATGTTTAGAGCCCGTTTCACTTTGCTGTTAAACTACTAACTGGGGTAACAAGTATGATGGGCATAAATTTGGATTGTTGATACCTTTTAAACCTCTTTTCAACTCACATGCAAGAGCCCATAGAACAGAGAAAGTGCACCATTAAGTGAGAGTGCTCACCACCTAATAAAGTTAGAGATACCAAGCCACTTCAGCAGAGAGCTTTGTGTTCAGAAAAAATAAAGAGGGCAAAGCTTCCCTTTACATTTATTTAAAATATATATATATATTTTAAAGCAATTAAGTGATCTTAAAAACAGCCAAATTAAAGGATTCCTTAAAAAAAAAAAAAAAAATGAAAAAAAATGAAAAAAATGAAGAAGACCTGCAGGTCTGCCTTGGGACCTGAGAGCAGGACAACCTTGGCAGATTACAACACTGGGGGACATGGAGCAAGGCTGAAGGCCAACACCTTACCCCCCTCCCCACACCTTTAAATCCATTAAAGAAAATGGAAATAAATAAATGCGACAAGGTCATGTAACCCAGTACTTACAGAGGCGAGTCCTGGCATAGTCTTCTCTAGATTGAAAAACTCATTGAAGTCAAAGTCTCCAGTTGACTGCTCTGGAAGAACATCAGGATGGGGAACTTCCTGATCAGCTGTAGACTGCAAACCTCCATCTTGCTCCTCAGCTAACCCACCGTTACATTCCACAGCTGCACATTAAGAAAATCTCACATTTGATATGGTTCAAGTCAAGTATTTCCCCTCGCCACCCAATGGAAAATAAATAATGAAACATTTTTTCAAAAAGTTATGACATTCAGAATGATTCTAAACAACGGACACAATTAACATGCCTTCTTTCACAGACTGCGTCCGCTTCCTTGATCTCTTGGATAGTCGTTTATCATCCTCAAGAATTTTGTCATCAAATCCAATGAGCTCAATAGTCTCTGACTGGCTGGTAGGTCCCCCCGAAAACCACTCTGGCTCCTCCTCTGCACACGAATCATTTCGTCTCCTTTCACTAAACACACGCTTGTCACCAAAATCTCTCTAAAACACACAAAAAATATTAAAAACAGAGTTATTGCCACTATGAAAGGGAATAAAATTGTTTTCCATGTACCAACACTTTAAATTAATAGGACAATTTATCCACTAAAAACAAGTATGCCTTCCTTAAGCAGGACTCAAAAAAACAAAAAACCCTATTTCAATATGTTGGTGGTTGTAAATAATTCTCTATGACTTAAACAAGTCTAGTTTAATAATCTCCTAAATCTGTTCATTTTCACAGCTGATCTGTGAAATTTGAGATTATTGAACAAAATTTTCATTCTTAAGTTTTTACATTAGTGCAAAAAAGATAACATCTTATTTAGAGATGCAACATGAATGCAGTGAAGTCAAAGAACACCAACCCTGAATCTTTTTTCTTTAAAGTCTCTCTCACGTTCCCGCTCTTTTTCTGCACGGGCTTCTCTTTCAAAGGCGCGAACAGTGATTATGCGTCCACTGCCAATTCTGCGAGTCCCTCCTGGACGGAGACTCTCATTTTCCTTATTTTCCAGCGGGCTGATTGGGCGACGAATGTGGGGTGCAGGTGCAGCATTGCCCTGACATCCACCTCCAAAGCTACGTCGCTGCGGGCTCAGTACCACATCCAAATCATCCTCCTTTAACCGCTCACGGGGATCTATGAGAATCAGAAAGTAGGAGTATCTAATGAGTTTTAAATAAATAGGATATCTCATTAAATGAAGAGCTACATGAACATATTTTTAGTTTGTCAGTAGTGAGCAAAAAGCTTTGGAAGACTAATCTTTACTGACACGGTACAGGCCACATACGCAGAGCGAGTTTTTATTTGCTTTTATCCATTTAATATAAATTCTTGTATATCATTCTGACCTTCCTAAGTGCAATTAAAGCAAAGAAATGTTAGCTTGTCTTGCATTTATATTTCAGTATGGGTTGAACTGAGACCAGTTTTTCCATTTTCTATTGCCATTTTTCTTTGTTTTTAAATCAAACAATCTATACATGCACATATACATGTACATTGTTTAAGGCTTAATAATGAATGTCTTAAGTTATACACTTATGGAACCTGGTGTTTTACCCATCGTACAAGTATACCATGAATAAAAATTGAACAAAAGTTACTTAGGGGATGCGAGTTATTTGAGAACAATAGACACACCCACACAAGTGCCTGAGCAGTTTAAAAGCTTTCTGACAAATTGACTTGCAACATCTGCTAACAACATAAGTATACAGGCTTCAGATAATCAGTGTACCTGGGATTCTTCGTTTCAAAGGAACTCTATCATCCATATAGTCCTTCCTAAAACCTTCAACAGGAGAATTTCGCTCCGAGGTGGGGTACAGAGAGGCATGCCATTTCTCTGGGTCCCAGACACCATCACTGAATTAGGGAGAAAAAAATAAAATAAAAAAATCAGATGTTTAAAAAATTTTCAAAACAAAATCTAAAAATAATCTTAATCAATCCACAAATTAAAAATATGAGTCATTTTAAAATTATGTTAATCCAGCATATGTTTGGAAGGAAATAAAATAAGATTGAATTCAAAGCTATCTTTGACCACTAACTAAAAGTGAGCATAATCCGCACAAATTGGATTACTTGTTTTTATAATTATTTGAAAAAAATAAAATATCAATTTACATCTCCTCTCCCACCTATCTAAAGAAAGAGGTGAATGGAGAAAAGAGACTGAAAAAAAGAAATGTTGCATTCTCAACTGTCATTCACAAGCTTTGCAACATCCAAAAGAAGCCTATAGTGTAGCTGGTTCAACTGCATGATTCCATACCAAATCATCAAATCCAAACCAAGTAAGTTTTTTTTTTGCCCTCACACATTTTATAGGACTAAAACAATAACTGAGTAGATAAAAGCAAAGCAGTAAAGCAACAGCCACATTCAATTCATGCGCATAAAACAGGATTCTCACAGGGTCCAAGTCAACACTATCTGCAACATTCATAGGATAAAACATGACTTGGACTTTGAACAATAAAAGGTTTAGGATTATTTTCTTACCGAAGTGAGACAGAGCACTTTGAAATCAAACGACAATCTTTCCTTTTTCACCAATATAAAGAGACATAGATCTATTCTGTTAGCAATTAGCATCTGAAGATAAACAAAAACTTATACTATGGAAGCTGCTTTATGACATGTGCATCTGTATTGGTGCTTGCAAGAAGCCAATTCAGTGGACGAAAACAGAATTTAGTTACAACCCACTGTGACAAAGAACAGTCAAAGATGCACATAACTGCAATACAGAATAAAAAGCATTCTTAATTAAAGAAGGGGTCATTTTGAAAATGACACAGGTGGCATAATTAAAGGTGTGATAGATGGAGGTAGAAAATAAATTCTACTGGGGTTCTGTGACAACATGGTTGTATGGTACGGGTACACCATTTATTTATTTTTTTAATCAAAGCACCGCAAACTAGTGACTGCAACTACTACAACAACAAACAAAAGATGGATGAAAAAGGAGTTGATTCAAGAGATTCCATCTGTATCTTTACATTTAATTAGGCCGGAGTTGTTTGCTGGTTTTCTTTACCTTAAAATCTTTATTAAAAGGAAAACAAAAACCTTACCTGTCATATTTATCTGAGAGACAATCAGGCCTTTCATTGGAGACTGGCAATTCTTTTATCTCCAGAAGCTCTTCCTGTAAATTAAAGTCCAGATGGATTATGAACTACTTGTGGCATCTATACAAAAAAAAACTTAGTAAAGGTTTCTTGTCACCTTGGTGTATCTGTATGGAGCTGCTGGCTGTTGCTTGGCCTGCTCCAAAGCTGCATCACTGTTCTTCTGCTGTTCACAGGCATCTTTCTCCATGACTGACAGAAGACAGAATGAACTGCTTCTAGTACAATGACTCCTGTAATGAAAGGTTTTTAGAACAGTTAAGTATACCTACTGTGATAAGATACAATGGATATTTCGAGCTACTACGAATTAAATATTTTCGCTGTTAAAAAAAGCTTATAATAAATGCTATTAATTTCTTCTCCTATCACCGTTTAGAGAATACTTCAAGTTACCTGCATTCGGACTGTTGCCACAAGCTGCTCCCTAATTAGCAGGTTAATTGACAACGACTGGAGCCGACTGGCACAAGAATTAACATGTCACTATCTATCATTACACATTTCTCATAACTGCCTAATTGTTTCTTGGTTCTGGTAAATGAATGAGATAGGTTTTACTCAAATCAAAAAGATCACCCTCTGCAAAACATTAACTGGAAAAAAAGACCTATGAATAAACTATTCCTGCATCGAATACCATGAAAATGATCTGCTAACAATTAGCAGTGTCAAGGGGTTAGCTACATTGAGGTAGCGTCCAACAAACGGCTCTATTTAACGTCAGAAATTTGAACGAACGAATAAACAACTAATAATTAAACCAAACACAAGCGTTTAACTTACCCAGGTAATTATGCGTGGAAAACTGGCAGCTCACGGTCGAGCAGCGGCACTTTGCGTTAGTTAGCTAGCCGGGCTAGCACAGTTAGCTAGCTAACTAACTAGCCGGGGAATGGGGATAATGCCCACCCAGCGAGTAATAAATCGTCAGCCGGTTGAGTTGTTGTAGTGATTTTGGTAAGCACACAAAATAGAGGGATAAGTTAACACAATAACACAAGTCCAAATAAAGTCACTCGGAATATGTGTGATCTCAATTTTTTTTGTCTGCTCTTTCTCTGTTTTCTAAGTCGTAGCAGCAATTTTTCTGCGATCACCGCTTTAAGAAGGTCCTGGGAGAGATTACGTCGTGTGCGTTCCGCCTTTGTATATTTTCAGTCCAGTGTGCTCAGGACACACAATATTTTGGTATATAACCAGTCATATAGAAAAATGTATACTATTGTGACACACAACCTATAAATAATGTGATTAATGCCAAATTTGCTTTGGAGATATGGTTTTATTGCTTGATAAAATAAATACAAATAAATCACAGGCATTATCAGGGGCAACTATTCCATGCTTTGGGGTTTGCTTGATTTGAGTTTCTCTATGGCCGACTAGCGGCACCTGCGTCCGAAAACTAAAATCCCGCCCACACGGAGGGCCAAGGAATGACATTGTCTGTGCATATCATTTTGAGGACCCAAGTTGGCTTCTTTACTATACAATGGAGTAAACATGAATCGGCTTAAGCTTTTTTTTGGCAAAGTGTACCATAATCACAATTATAACAGATACCACATTGTAGATACTATTAAACATATATATAGATATAAAAAAACACCTAGAACACTGCAACCGCTAGAGCTAACTGCACACAGCACTGTCGCAGTCCGTTGCCGTTGACAACTGACCACGGTGGTCACGTGACAAGAAAAAAAAAACAAGCGCGCGGCAGTTGGGCAAAACGCAGCAATACTGTAACATTGACGGAAGTTCTTGATTTTTCCTTTCAATAACAACTTTAAAATTAAGTAAAGGGTTTTCGATTACAGTACTTCCACAGCCGTGCGTTATGTCATACGATTGTTGATAAGAGGGACTTAAATCATAATGCCGAGTAATCATACCAGAAACTCATCTAAAAAACAGGAGCGAAGACTTCAAACTAGAAAGATTCCTTACAGAGTTGGATACAGCTGGAACAAAGGTGGAAGACTCAAGGAGCTGAGGATAAGGTACGATATGGTGCACCTTATTTGACCCTATGGCTGCAGTATGTTGTGACATTAACTCCTTTAAACTTTGCAGACATTTGGCAAGAAAGTTTCTAAAAATATGGATGAACAAAACCTTTGGCCGCATTCTTCCCCATGAAGCCAGGTGAGGCGTTACACTTATTTTACATAACAAACATGGTATGATTAGAAATCTCAATTAGTTTTCTAAAGGAAACCAAAAAAACATGTATCGTTGCTCATCAAGTTGCATCTGATCTTTAATGCCATGTGTGATCTTACAGATCTCATTATAATAATGTGGTCCTGAGACGAACCTTTGAAGGATGGAAAGACGAGTGGTGGAAGTCCAGGAGGGAGTGGAGTCTTAATATGCGGGCAGAGTGTCACTACAGGTCATTAAAGGAGATTGTGATGGTCTTGAAAGTCTCACAGCTAAGTTTTAGGCCTGAATGCTCTTCTTTGTATTCTGATGATGTTGTTTGTATTTTAGATATTACCTATGCAACAGAACTTTGCATGGTTGGAGAAATGTTATATCCTTGAGGAAAAAGAAGAGGATTAGAATGCAAAGCGCACAATCAATAGGTAAGATTTACCATTTTAAAAAAGGGTTGTGTAATCCTATGTGTGTCATTAAATGCTTGATTTCTCTCATCAGCTGAAAGGCATCTGATGCGTGTGGTTTGGGGCAGATGGGAGGTTTTCATGGAGACAAGAAGATTTCAAAGCAAAGTGCTCAAGTCAGCTTTAGCGCAGAAGAAGATCGCAGCTATGCGGTGAGATTTACTTTAATTTACTGATCAAAAGTTCAATGATTGTCATTTTGCTGATTTTAGCGCTGCTTTGTGTTCCAGATCAGCGTGGAGTCTGTGGCAGACCAGGCTAAAGAAGCAACGAGAACTTTGCATGTTAGAGGACCAAGCACTGATCCACAGGGCATTGCACTTACAGAGGAAGGTAAAGCCACAGTGGGTGTATGTGTCCACATTAAATTAGTAGACATTACATTAAAGGCATACTCAAATTCTTAGCGTTTTGTCTTATAACATTTAACTGATATATTTCCTTAAAGGCTTGGCTTCTGTGGAAGGAGATGCACACAGGAGCTTGTTGCCAAAAGGAGAAAGAAACCAAAGCTGCTCTCCACTGGATCATAACCATTAAAAAGAGATCTTTCTCTCAGTGGAAAAGTTATATGTCCTGTCATCGTGCAAAGAAAAAAGCAACAGGTCTTTATGTTTTAGCTTCAGTCCCTTCCGTGAATATTTTACTTTTTATTTTAAAATATGACTTATTTGGTTGTTTCCCAAGGTTTTTTTTGTGTGTGTGACTTTCCTGTAGCCTTGGCTCAGCACTCCTATTGTCTGCATCTGTTGTGGAAGTGTTGGAGTAAGTGGAGCAATGCACTGGATAACAGAAGGAAAGAAGAGACCCATTTGCAAGCTGCAAGCCATCTGGCTGCTGTAAACATGCAGCGCAAGGCTTTGCTGTGCTGGAGAACCTGTATCCTGCATAAAACAAAACGTGTATAAAACAAGTCAGCAGAAACACTGATGTTGAATCAGTTTAAAGTGAAGTTTTCCTCCTGAGCTTCCAAGTAGATGTGCAGCTGTGCAAAGAAGAAGCTGAGAAAAATCAGAGAGCAAGTCAACATTTTCACCACAGCTTGCTGGTAAGAAGAACTGTAACTGACTATAGCAGCTTCCTCAGTAAACACAGAATCTCCCTGTGGATGAATCAGTCTGTGTTCCTTTTGCAGCGTGCTGGATTTCAGGGGCTGTCCCTGAACGTGAAGCAGAACAGAGCACATCGCATGAACAACAACATAGCCGTCCAGCACTGCCAACAAACAGTAACTGTTCCACATTAACTGATCAACGCTTTACAATCAGCTCCTTCAGTACATTTGTGAGACTTATTATGTGAGATTTGTTTTGTTTTTAGATTATGAGCAAGTTCTGGACACTGTGGAAGGACCGCCTGGAAGAAGTTGAAGATCGGAGTTTTCAACCAATGACTAAGATGGCACAGAATAGTTACAGGTGTTTTGTTGTCATTTCCACTATGTAACTCATTTAGCAGCATTAACTGCAAACTAATCCCCAGGCCTGTCTGCTTTTTATATCCCAGAATTTCTCTGTTGAGGGAGTGCTTTTACCACTGGAGAGAGAAGCTTACTGAACAAAGACACAATCAGGTATTGTGGGAGTATAATCTGTCATGCCATACTTTGGGACACTCCGTTATACCATCCTGCTACCTGCATTGCTCCTTTCAGATAAACTTGGATGTTGTGTAAAATCTAGCTAAAGCAAATTGCAGTAAATTGTAAATCATTTTAAAATGAGTCTCTGACAAACTAACATAAACAAGGATCCTTCACACTGGGAAAGAGCCTGAATGGAATATTTGTTTAATGTTTTACATATATAAAACAAACTACTGTAAAAGAAAAAGTAAAAACTCACTTGTTTTTCTGCAGGAATTGGAGCAACGTGCAGACGTTTGGTTTGCAGAGCGCATGTTGCCTTGTTGTTTCAAGACATGGGTCGAGTTCACTCTGCAGAGACGACTGCATGAGCACAGAAGACACAGAGCAGAGGTCTTTAATCGGTGAGTCTGGGCCTTTGCCAGACTGTAAAACCTGCTGTTGGCTTATTAGATAACTGAGTGTGCTGTGTTTCATGATTTTGGCAGGCAGCGTCAGTACGCTTGGGTGTTCTACACCTGGTGGGGAAAGTCAGAAAAACACAAAGAGGAGATGCTCTCTGAGCGGATGGTAGGCCGGCGGCAGATGGAAAAAGGACGGTCGGTGTTGATTGAAACCACTGTCGAGCAGCTGATGAGGGACATTTTGTTTCCAGGCAGTTTTACACGAGGAGCGAACTCGCCTGCAGAGGGCCTGGGCCCGATGGTGGCAACGCACACAGCTTCAGGTCAAAGAGGCAGAAAAACAGGAGGCTTCACACCGCCTGTACCATCACAGACTTCTCCACAAAGCCGTCGCTCAATGGAAGGAAACCAGCACTGAGATACGAGACAGGTGAAGCACAGCGAGCGCCGCTGAGGATGTTTTACTGCGCGAATCAGGTGATAACTGGTGTGTTTGTTTTATGCCAGGAGAAACAGAGAGCAGCAGGCTTGTCTTCATGGTGACCTGCGCTGTATGAGACTGGCTGTAGACAAATGGAAAAAGGTGCGTTTGTCAGCCCTCACTCTCTTTAGTGTGCACAATATTTGTTTATTGGAAAGCAAAAGTGTTTTTTACTTAAAATCTATAAATGATAACCATGGAGGCGGCAAGATTGGGAAACAGCGGTGCCTTGAAAGTGAATGTCTCATCATATCCGCATTGTAGAAATGGAAACACAGCTACGATGCTCCAGGATATAAACTTAAATTAACCTTTGCTATTCCGCTTATACCTACTAAGGGTTACTTTTGGGGGGGTGCATATCCCAACTGTCATTGGGCGAGTGGCAGGGTACCAATTGGACAGGTCACCAGTCCATCACATGGTTAAAATATTTATCGTTTACTACTTTTCATGCATTGTGTGGGTTATCAGTTTGTTCAGAGACAGAGACTGAAGAAGAGTAGGCTGATGGAGATCCAGCGTTACCATGAAGTTAAACTCCTCAAACAATCCTGTGTGGCCTGGAAGGTGAATAAGTATTTATTTCAGATGGATTGTGGTTGCTGTCATTCGTTGGATGGGATTCAATTCATGCAGAGGTCCTCATTTTGCCTTCACAGAAGCATCATTCACAGATGTCTGTGATCAGTGAACGTGCAGAGGAACTTTATAGAGAGCGGACACGGTCCTTTCTCAGGTAATAAACAATAGCACAGGTACTGTACAGTCTTACTCCTTCGGTTTTAGAGACAGTTAGGATGATCACTTCCTGTCCTGTATCATCAGGAACGTTCTTGTTGAGTGGAGGGAGAAAGCGGTGCTGCGGGGGGAGGTCCGTGTCGCAGAGCAACGCGCACAGAGCCACTTTGAGCACATCCTCCAACTTAAGGTTACATGTTTGCCAGTGTTCCATTTTGTCTGAAATTTTTTTCCGTATTTATTTATTCTGTGCGTTTGTTTTGCTTTAATTCACTCAAGGTTTTCCTCGTTTGGAGAGAAGCCACATCACGTGCAGTGTCAAAGCGCCACCAGCAGGGGGAAGCACACAATCGGCTTCAGTGTGCAGTGAACCAGAGTAATTTCTTTTCCAATTTCTATTTTCTCAGAACAAATTGGGATCCATTATCATCAGTGTTACTTTCCTGTTTTACTTAATGGTACCAATGAGAATAGTGGCCCTGAGGGGGAAACATAAAGAAAAACACACATGCATTTGTAATCCACAGAACCACAGAAAAGACTGAAACAAAGAAAATCTTCAGATTTGTTGTATTTTCTGAGCTGTTTGGGTCCTTGTAATACTTTAGCATTTGTGTTTTCACTTTTATGTACTTTTTCCTTGATATTTTCTTTCCTTAGTGCGGCTGCTGAGCTCCTTCAGACTGTGGAGGAAACAAACGAGGGAGGCTCGGAGGGAGAGGATGAGCATGGAAAAGGCTAGGCGGCACCACAATTCCAAACTCCTCGCTAAAACTCTGACCGCCTGGAGCAAACATCACCACCAGAACCAGAGGAATAAGGTTGTAAATTAATTCTTCCTTCGCAGTTACGCAATCCACATTGTTGGCTCCATACTGTAACACGAATTCCTAAAAAAATGTGCAAAAATCCAGGTGATGAAGAGACAGGGAATGCTGCTGCTGAAATTGAAGCTCTACCAGACGTACTTTGAAGAGTGGAGAATCAAGGTTTGTGTTTTCATCAGATCACATTAATTTTGATGATGATTCCTAAAAATTGCACTTCCTGACAAACAGCTGTGATCAAGAAAGTGAAAATAAATGAAGAGTTATTAACAATTGACTGCAAAACACATTTAAATTACAGGAATAGGAATCGCAAAAGAATTAGAAGCAGGAAAATATTTAGGAGTACCTAACCTAACCTTAAAATTTAAATTTCACAAGGACCACAAGGAGAACTCATCACTGTGTTTAAATGGCCTTCACTTGTCTCTTTTGCGTCATAGCATTAGGAGTGTCTTACTTTTAGCCACTCCATTACGTTGTCGTGCCTATTTATTTGTGGTACAAACAGTTTGCTTGGAAATGCAAATGAAAATTAGGGTAGCGTCTGCATCCATTCTGTGCTATAGATGGAAGTGGAAAGCCGGAGAGGACATAGTTGCACAGTTATTGCGATGAATACAAAGCTTTGAAAATCATTCTTCCTTTTTGTGTTTTACTCATGAAACTAGTAGTTGAGAGTCCATAGATAAGAGCCTGAAGGTCACAGAGCTCTTTCACCACCATGTATATGCTTTGATTTAGTGCAGTTATTCTGACTGTGACTGTGTTCTTTTTCCTGCAAACAGCTGCAGCACAGACAAAGAGAGGCGAAGCAGGCAGAGCGAGCTCTCTGGCACTGGTCCCTCACTCTTCAGGCCAAGGTAACACCTGCTTCCACATTCCTCTCTCACTCAGAATTGTAGCACCAAGTGCGCTGCAGAAACCTAGCTAACAGCAGTTAGCATGTCTGGCTTTTGCTGCAGGTGCTGTTTGGATGGAGGCTGTGGGTGTCCGAGCAGCGCAGGAAGCGGGAGCAAACAGCCAAAGCTGCACAGACCTACAGAGACCAACTGCTCAGGGAGGGCGTGACTCGCATCCTGACGTATGCCGTACACATGAACGATCTCACAACAGGCCTAACACAGTTAGACCAACAACAAGTGGGTGGTTGTTTGTGCCTATTGTGATTTCAGACACCCGATTGGATTTGAGTGTTACTTCATCCAGTCTGTCTATTCATTGTAGAGGTCGCAGACTCTCCAAAGAGTTGTTAAACGTTGTGCCATGCGGTGGAAGCAACGGGTGCTATGTAAACCGCAAAAAGAGCAACCGGGCCGAACACAACTGCCGAAAAAGAGTGTGACCTTCTGTTTGGAAGAGCCTCCTCTTGACAACATTTCCACAGGGGAGCTGGCAGCTCCAGACGGAGCATTTAACAAGCAGTGAGTGTGTGCTTCCATCAGCTGTCACACTATCCAAGTGAAGGCCTAACAAAAGTGTTCATTTTCTGCACGTTCCCAAAAAGAACATTTTGGGCTTCCACTGGAGCGTTGCCACATAAAGAGTTTATCTTCCAAAAGATTCACCTCTTTTTGGACACTCTCTTTTCTAAAAGACAACATCAAGTTGAAGCATTTCCTCGTATTGTAAAAAGACAGCACTGACAAATCCTTTTCAACCTTTTGTCCAAAAGCATCCTGAAGGAATCCGACCTCCCTGGCGCCGAGTTTTCTGCATGCAGATGTCCATCACACACAGATCATCCCGTAGCATTATCCTACCTCCACCTAGCTAAAGGACCAGCCACCGCTTCACATCAGCACACCCTCATATCTGCTGACATACCCTCTGAGCCTCATATGTCTGCTGTGGACTTGGGTCTGGAAACCCCAAACCAGGAGCTTCTTCTACCTCCCTCTGCTTTCATGACCTTAGGGAGTACAGATGTGGTAATAATCACTTCCCAAATCAGCAAGCTCTAGGCTAATTGTTGAATAACTCTGGTCTCTAATTTACTTCTTTCCCTATTCAAGTCAGGGAAATCCAGTGGTTCACATCTGGGAGAGGCTTTGTGTGTGCCTTTTCATCAGCCTGCCTCTCCTTTTGAGCACCATTCATCGGCTGATTCAGGTGTGGTACCTGTTTTTTTGTTTTTTCCTTCCCAGTCGGATTTCTTTAAATGCCAATGATGGTAAGCACAGTTGTGGAGTTACAAAGAGAATCTGAACCTTTTCTAGAGAAGCAACGGAGAGGATTTGATGGGAAGGCCGTAGATCTTCGGGTAGAAGATGTGCCAGCTGATCCAGCATCAGCTCTGGCCGGAGAGCTTCTCAGTATCCAGCAAGACATGAGGAGCTTCCAGCAGAGCAGGAAGCAGCTTCGGTTTGAATCTCACTCTATTTTTTATTTTTTTTGCACGAGTCCACGCCTTGACTGATGTTTACCGTGTCTATCTGTGTCCACTCAGCGCGTGGCGAAAGCTAAGAGACGTATTACAAAGTTGGCTGCAGACGAGTGGCGAGGATGAGCCAATGGAAAAAAATGCTGTTTGTGAGGAGCTGAAGGAGGTAGGATTAATAACGTCTGCTTATGTTGGTTTTAAAACAACACAGTATAGTAAATTACATGGCTTAAATTCTATATACAATCTCTTGTTGCCCATTGTAACTGGTATATTTTTCCCAATTTTTTTTAAATGTGGACGGCATCCCATCCACTGCTTGTTACTGTTATGATAAATAAAGTTCTCTTCTGTGTCACCACAGCTGGAGGAACGCATCCACAGACTGTCCACCGAGCTGGATAAAAGGAAACCAATGATGCTGCTGCACACGGAGAGAATTCAGCTCTTACAGTCTCTCTTCAGCACCTCAGGAGTTAGTTCTGCCTGCTGAGAGAGAAAAAAAGACCCTGAAACAAATAACTGTTTACAGCTTGCATACGCCATGAAACATTTAGCTACCTATCTGCAACCTCAGCAAAGCAAAGTGTGGTTGGTTCTAAACTGACAAATGCTTCAGAACCTTTGGACCTCAACTGGATATGCCCTCTTCTTTCGATCCAGCAGTGTTAACGTTTAGATACACGCTGTAATCTTGTTAAGTATAACGTGAAATGTTATATACATATTCAAAAACATTGAATAAAGTTTCTTTAAAGCTAAATCCCACCCTAGATGTACACTTTTACTTTTCAGATATCCCCCTCCTCACCATCTCCTTGTGACAGATGGTGCTAAATATTTTCCATATGTGTGCAAAAAGTGACTTAACTGTTTTCAAAGGAGTTGGCCTTGCGCAATAGGTTTTCTTTTTCCATGTTTGTAGCAGTGCCTCTTACACTTACACTGCTGGAAAATCTGCCATTTCGGTCTCGGAGAGAAAACGGTGATGTACTGACCGTATTGGACACATTATTTCTCTTTGGTCTTTGGTCTTCAGCAGAACAGAATGAGTGTTTATCGTCTTTTACTATTTGTAACCTTTTTATGTTGCATCAGGGGTAAGTGATGTTTCTCAGTTATTTATTTTCATCCTTATTTTTGTTTTGTTATCCAGCTTCATTGCAGCATAAATTTGATGACTTTTTAGCATCTTGGTTTGGAATGTTTTTTCAGTTTTTTGTCAGCTTTATGAAGCTTTTTTCATGGCATGATTTAAACAGATTTGGAAAATAGAAAATGTCATCTTTTTTTTTTTTTTTTTTACTTATGTAAATGTTCCAACCTGCATGTGTCTAAAGTATAAATGTGCTTCACGCTAACAAGGACTACAGGCACAGTGCTTCTCTGACTGGCTTTTGTGGCTCATTCAAACTGTTGCTTGTACGGCAGCCAAGAAGATGCGATGGTGCACAGTGTCGGATCCCGAACAGAGGAAGTGTGCAGACTTAGGTAAAGCTCTAAGGGACGTGCTGCCGCCAGCTGCTTTGGCAGCTTTTGCCAAACTGTCATGCATACGAGCTTCCAGCACATCGGACTGCATAGACAGAATTAAAGTGAGTGAAGCCAAGAGGGGGAGCTGTTACTGAAAGGTTTTGCCATCCCAACAACTCATTAGCCTTAAGTTACTTGGTTCTCTGTGGGTGTGTTTTCTTTAACTTTATTAAAAAAAACTACTGTGGAATTTCTATTTTATTTATATGCATAGGGCGTAACCATTTGGCTTAACCATTTGGTGTGTAACTTTCTAAATTAGTGTTTATAGTCTTTGTACAAATTTCAGTTAATGCGGTCCCATTTATTTTGTCTGGAGCAGGGCAGCCCGTGAGGCTGATGGGCTGTGCACTTAAAGGGTCAGTGAGGTTGAGAAAAATGTACCACAAAACATCAGAAAATATAAAAACCAGAAACTGAGATTAATTTGCTTTTCCATGAAAATTAAAAAACAACTGCGTGGTGAAATGTTGATTTATGGATTCCTTTTCTCCCAATAGGCAGTTATGCCATTAACATGACACTATGATTAACTCCATGGCTCTGCTCTTGGCCTAAACCTTGAATACTTCATACTGACACCGTTTTTATGTCAGTCTATTTTTGGGGGATGAAAGGAATGTTTATATTTTAAACTATAATTAAAAAAATCTCTGACTTTTTTCGTTTCAGGCTAATAGAGCTGATATAGTGACTCTGGATGCTGGAGAGGTTTATTCTGCTGTAAAGCAGTTTGATCTTGTTGCCATTGCTAAGGAGGCATACAGTGACGGTGGGTTTGTTTCCGTCTCCACGGACACTTCAAGATGCCTCTTTGGTTCTGAGATATGAGAGGTCTGAATCTGTTTTTCTGCAGGGGGCTGCCTTCTCTCAGTGGCTGTGGTGACAAACAGCAGCTTGGACATCCGATCCTTGAGGGGCCTCAGGAGCTGTCACAGCGGGGTCCGCTGGACCACCGGATGGAGCCTCCCGCTGGGCTTCCTGCTGTCCCGGAACTACCTGACCTGGTCCAAAGAGCATCCTCTCAGTCAAGGTTGTGGACTTTGTCAGTACAGCTCTCTGCAAATTGCTCTGCTCCGATCTGGTTCTGACTTGTCTTTCTGCTCTGGATCAGATGTGAGTGACTTTTTCAGTGCCAGCTGCATTCCGGGAGCTGCGGCCATTGCACCGCCTCTGTGCACCTTATGCCAAGGACAGAAGTCGTACATCCGCCAGAAGAATTATCACTGTGAAACATCTCACAGTGAACCCTTCTACAACAACCAGGGAGCTCTGAGGTCAGTCAGGAAAAACATCGGACACTCCTCTTATTTGATTTCACTTAAACAGGAAAGGTACTTTATACTTTTGCCTCTTTTGGTGTGCCTCAGATGTCTAAAGAGCAAGACAGGAGATGTTGCGTTCGTGGACCATTTAGCTCTGGAAAGTATTGAAGGTAAGGGTTTGCAGTGTAATGCTACCTAATCTAATAGACCCTATAAATAGATAAAGTTTAGTTTTCACATCTGCATCTATTCCTGTAGAGTCCAATATTTCAGCTGCTCAGCAGCCAGTAGTTTAATGAATTTCCTCTCCGTGATGCTCTATACATTTTCGGTGAGACACAGTGCCTCTAAAGCCATGCTGTATGTACAAGGCATTTCAAAGCCAACGTCGATTTCTCCCCACTTTCAGGTTCAGGTGACCTTTCTTGATACAATAGTGAAAATCGTTTTCCCTGGTATATCCTGACTATGCTGATCATGATGTCACAGTGGTCTCTAATGCAGAACTCCCTCAAGGTCCAATAAGAACTCACAGTTTCCATCCTTGGCCTTTATAAACTCAGACTCCCTGAATATTTTTTACAATATTATTGGACTTGAAAGACCAATGCCCTTTGAAATTTGGCATTGCCGTTTCTCTTGGAACCGGAATTTATATTGCCTGACCAGGTTTGGCCAAACAGTGAGCCATGAACATTTACAGATGCCCCTTTTTTATTGTTAGTTTGTACACAAAATTTTTAATGAGCTTTTTTTTTTTGTACAGTTGTACAAATTCCCAATGAAAGGCACATCTGTTTTCCACTCTAATTTGTATTCTTTGTCCTGTCAGAGAGTGAGCGGGACGGGTTCAGGTTACTGTGTACTGACGGCACACAGGCTCCTCTCAGCCACTATAAAAGCTGTAATCTGGGTCGTGGTCCAGGAGGGGGAATGGTCACCAGACACAATTTTCGCAAGGTTGTCAGAAAGTTTCTCATGACCATTCAGGTAATTTCCTTTCTCACTTTTGACCCCAAATATAACTAATTTTGTGCTTCATGTTTCGAGCTGTTCTTTAACCAGTTCATCGTCTCAATGCACTTTTTTGATGGATCTTTAGTTGTTCTTTGGTCGGCAAGGAAGAGAGCAGCAGCGCTTCCAGCTCTTCAACTCAACAAGCTATGGAGAGAGCGATCTTCTCTTCAAAGATGTGACGCATAAACTGGTGGTGTTGTCAGACGACATGGACGTCAGCCAGGTGCTGGGGCTCGATTATGTTGCCCTCCTCAAAGGCCTTGGGCATGAAGGTGCTCATGCTTTTAGACAATGGCGGTTACATATTAGCCTGCATTCCAGACGAGATGCAACCTTTATGGCAACTCTCAGCCTATTTGTTTATCCAGGAAGCTCCTTGGAGGACAGTGTTGTGCGATGGTGCTGCATCAGCCATGCTGAGCAAAAGAAATGCGAGCAGTGGGCTCTCAGCATAAAGTCCGACCCGCTGGTGTGTGTCAGAGCCGCCTCCATTGGTGACTGTATTGAGAAAATAAAGGTAGGTCATCTAAATGTCATGGTTTCAAGACCTTATTTGCACTTTGTGGAGCAGCAATGTTCAAGCTGCAGTGTGTAACTTCACCACAGAGAGACGAGGTGGACGCGGTCTCGCTGGATGCAACTCACTCATTCATTGCAGGAAAATGTGGACTGGTTCCCGTGGTGACAGAATACTACGGTAGGAGCACGATCATTTATTTTTAGCAAAAATCTTTATTATAAGTTGAGTACTGATCTTTTCACTGGGACTCTATAAACTCTATCCAACTGTAGTCATTACTACTGTATATAAGTTTTCCTATAGTCAAATTTTAATATCCAAATATTATTCCTTTCATTTTTTTAAAATAATTTTACTCTTAGTGGAATCATTGATAATATGAAGACATTAAGTTCAAAACACAACACCGAACAAAAACCCTGGAAAATTTAAACCCACCTCCTAGAGTCAGTATTTGAAAGCACAGCGTCTCTGTAGGCAGGCCCTTCTGATTATGTAAATCAATGCAGACATTTAATAAACTGCTGTCTGCTGTGCAAGCAATCATTCAAATAATCATGTGTGGTCTTTGCTAGTTAAAACCTGCTTTTATCATTCACTGTGTTCACTTCAACCCAAAGGAAAGAAATGTGTCCCTGCTGTAGGATCATCACCTCACTTAGAGGCAGACGGTAAGACAAACTGCAGCTCGGTGCAGCACTGACGACTGAAGTTTTGCATTTAAATGTAAAAAACAAAAAACAAACAAGCATTGTTTGTACTCTCAGTCTTGCCCTCGGTGGTCGGCGTCGCAGTGACAAAGCGCTCCAACAAGAACGTGTTCATGGGAAATCTGGGAGGCCGCCGCTCCTGCCACAGTTACATGTACAGCCCAGCGGGCTGGCTGCTGCCCTACAGGCACACTCTGAGCCAGGAGCAGAACACCAGCTCCCCCTGTGATCCAAACCAAGGTAGTGTGTCCCAAACTTCGCTGTCTATTCGCACAGACAGGAATACCACGTCCGTTCTCTTCTCTTGATGCTTTGACCTGTTCTCGACATTTTGGTGGCTGCTTTTCATTTTAACTTTTTTAGCCTGAGCTTTATGGTTTTCCTAGTGTACAATAAGGTGTTTTGGAAAGGCTGTCTCCCTGGCTCTGAGGGAAATCTGTGCAAAGTGTGTATGGGAGGCACAGGGGAGGCTGCTACCAAACGCTGCGCTGACAACCACAATGAGCGTTACTATGGCAACATGGGTGCCTTAAGGTATGACTGTTTTCCAACCACCTGAAATTTAGCGAGACGGCTAAATACAATTACAAATAAATGCTGACATTAGGATATTTTTGGTTTTAATTTACGGGGTTTGACTATGTTTGCAGACAAATTTGTTTAAACCTGGTCTTTTCAGCTTCATGTGGCCTCCTGGCTGGTTTGATGAAATATGTTTTAGGTTAGGGCTAGACATTTTAGAAAAATAGCGGTTGGAAATATTTGAATAATTCTCAAAAGTTGGTTGTTTAAACCTTTGGACAGTTATGCCTTCAATCCCATTCCCCTCCCATTTTCAGGTGCCTGGTAGGAGATCCAACAGGGAAAAGCTATGGTGATGTGGCCTTTCTTGAGCAACACAACCTCCAAGCCAACATTCTTCGTGAGTTAGCCAAAAGACAACCAAAAAAAACCCGTTGGTCTACATCACAAACTGTAGATACTGAAATGTTTTCCGTGTGCGCTCCTGTTCATGCAATTCAGGTTTGAATTCCACCGGTTGGGCAGACGGATGGATATCGTCAGATTTCGAGCTGCTGTGTGGAGATGGGCGTCGTGCTCCTCTGACAGAGTGGGAGAGTTGTAACCTGGGTATTATCCCACCAAACACCATCATGACGAGGCCAGTGCTCGCTGCACGAGTGTACGACTTCCTCATGAAGTCACAGGTCAGCTATTCAGACATATGTTTGTTAGTTTTTTTGCAAACTCCGGCAAGTACTAAATAATTACCCACTGCACAAAATATTAAATGAACACACCCCAACATCACACTTTTTATATAGCACAGTCACACCTGATATGATGCATAAAAAGTGGCTGTTTGGACAAAGATGTGTTGTGATACGTTGCTGTAAATCAAGACAACAGTATATCATCAGAAATAAATGCAAATTAAGCAATTTAGAGTATTTTGATACCCAAAAGTTTTTGTGTCATATCAAGAACAAAAAAGACCTTTATATATTAAAATGGAAAAAGTCTGAACTCTATCGATGGCTGGAAATAATCATTATTCAATTATTCTAATTATATGTAATAAAATATGTGTAAAAAATCTTTATAAAATGATAACAGCCATCTTTACAGGCTTATGAAAAATAAATGGATTTAAAGCCCTTTTGATTAAGGTCTTAGACCTTTGGATATTTAATCAAAGTAATTTGATCTAACTATAACTGTTTTTTCTGAAGACTATCTAAGTTGCTCTTACAATTCACATACACCAACCATTTGCAGTACCACTCTACAATTCCTTTGTTTGAAGTGTTGTTAAAAAACTGTTCCCTCCAATGTTTAAGGAAACTTTTGCAGCCAACCTAGATGCTGAGTTCAAGCTCTTCGAGTCTCATCAGTATGGAGAAAGCGATCTGCTGTTTAAAGACGTAACCGAGTGTTTCGTCCACACCAGCCACAAGGACTACCGCTCCATCCTCGGAGAAGAGTTTCACACTCAGGTGGAATCGGTCTTCAACTGCACACACTCAAGTAAGACCACAGCTAAAATGTCGGATCTCTGACTGAAGTTTCCCTCACGCATAACTATAACATTTATGTTCTCAGTTCTAACAACAGATATTCTGGAGTTCTGTAACCAGGATGTGTGCAGCATATTCTAACAAAGGAAAAACAACAACACCAAATTTTCCTCGTTCATTCAATTCTTTGTGCAAATGTGTGAGTCGGACTGGAAACCATCATCACACCAATATGAAGACTAAACAGATCAAGGCCACTGCCTTCCCCTTTGAAACACAGAGGTGCCTTGTGAAGTCAGTCATGTCCTGATCTTTGTGTTCTCCAAAGACACATAATCACTGTGAAGATGATTGTAACCCAGACAGTATACCTTGTAAGCTGATAGTAAAATCTGTGCGGCCAATCCTCTATTGACGCTATTCTCAAATGGATATCTTAACCATAAAGAAGTCAGGATGTCCTTATTCAGGTATCTGAGACTGAAGATTTTATTGCAACAAAGATACATTATTAAAGTGATTTCAGATTTCAAATTAAAGGTGTTCCTTTATCATATGCAGTGTCAGTCCTATGTTCCTGTCTCTACTTGGGTTTTCGTACTCATTACACGACTGTTCATACACCACAAATACATGAGTTTAATAGAAATAAGAAACAGGAAAAACAAATAATTACATCTTGTAAATGCAATTTTTTCAACTTTGCAAACATCTGAATAAATCACAAGTAACACTTCTCTGTAGATTTTCAAGCGTACATAACGTGCAGTCGCAAGCTTAAGCTGACTCCATTACCCACACTACAGCGCGGCGGTGTTTGGTGTTACATTGAAGCGGGGACTTCCTGTTTCTAGCTATGCATGAAGGTTCCCCTGTTATGTCGGGCTGTTGTGGTTTGACTTGTTACAAAACTACTCCTGTCGGCACTCCACGCCGCTGCGGACTACGGACACTTTCCATCAACTGCTATCCCCAATAAGGTGAAGTAGCTACGGCACCTCAGCCAGCCGGACACGTAGACCGAACAACTTCAGCCCGTTGACTTGTTTGTCTGCCCTCGGTTGTGTTGACAGTGTTAATGACACTCGTCGGTGACGTCTCCTGTTAGTTTCTGTCACCATTGCTCTCCGAAACGGGTCGTTTGTAATCACGTTCCGTGTGTTTTTCGTCGCTGTAGATGAGGCTGCCGTGGCGGGCAGTGCCCCGTCCCTCGGCTCCGCTGCGGGGGCTCTCCTCGGCCCCCGCGGGGAAGCAGGGCTTCGTGCCCGCCTGCAGCACCACCGACGTCCTCTCGCGAGAGCAGCTCCGGGACTTCGTGTCTCGCGCCCGGCGGCTGTTCGCCATCAGCGGGGCGGGTCTGTCCACGGAGTCCGGCATCCCGGACTACCGCTCGGAGGGCGTGGGGCTGTACGCGCGCACCGACCGGAGGCCCATGCAGCACGCCGAGTTCGTGCACAGCGCCAAGTCGCGGCAGCGCTACTGGGCCAGGAACTTCGTCGGCTGGCCGCAGTTCTCCTCCCACCAGCCGAACGCCGCGCACGGCGCGCTGCGGCGCTGGGAGCGGGAGGGCAGGCTGCACTGGCTGGTCACGCAGAACGTGGACGCCCTGCACTCTAAGGCGGGTCAGGAGAGGCTGACCGAGCTCCATGGCTGCGCCCACAGGTGAGAAACAGCCTCCACCTGAGAAGCATGGGGGGGGAAGTGTCATGCCAGGGAGACCAATGAAAGTTTTGTGTGCAAAAGATAGCCAAAAGTCAAAATACATCAATTAATCAGACAACTCGTCCCCATAATAACATGTGTAATGTATCACTGAATGTTTTTTGGTAATGCATTCATGTCTGTGGATGTGTTATTTTTATGATTGTAGTTTCTCTCACTTTGGTAAAGAATGTCTTGAGCAAGCTGATCAAGAAATCCAGTGTCACCTACATCCAGAGCATGTTATTTAAAGGGTTGATGGTATACGGCTTTCCCCTGTAAATGTTTAGTTTTGTGTTTTCCAGCCAAAATGATCAAAAACCTCGGCTTTGCAGAAACAAATAGTTTGCCTTTTGCGCATTTAAAGACATTTTAAGGAAGAAAGCTCCGTCCTCAGGGTGATGTGCCTTGGCTGTGGTGCCATCACAGCGAGGGAGGATCTGCAGAGGAGATTCTCCTCCTTAAACCCAGAGTGGAGGGCTCAGGCCGGGGCCGTGGCCCCGGACGGCGATGTCTTCTTGGAGGACGAGCAGGTTCTCACTTTCAGAGTCCCCTCCTGTGAGCGGTGTGGGGGCATCTTGAAGCCAGAGGTCACTTTTTTTGGCGATACCGTCAACAGGGCAACCGTCCAGTTTGTGCACGACAGACTGGCAGAGTCGGACGCGGTGCTGGTCGTGGGCTCATCCTTACAGGTAGGCCAGCACGAGGAGCCCCGCACGGAGACTCTGGCTCGGCTTTTTCAGACTATAGCGTCTCATTGCGCTTCTCCCTGTTGCCTCACCAGGTGTATTCAGGGTACAGGTTTTTACTGGCTGCGAGCGACAGGAAGCTGCCGGTGGCCATCCTGAACATCGGGCCCACCAGAGCGGACCACCTGGCCCAGCTGAAAGTGAGCGGTCGCTGCGGTGAAGTGCTGTCCGCCATCCACCTCCACTGACGCCGGGAGCTGGGATCGTCCTCTGACCAGAACTACCTCAGACGCTGCGTTCGGGGGGAGGAGCCAGACCGGGCCGCAGCTCAGGAAAACCAACTCCTGCTCTCAAAAGACGGACACGTCAGCACCTGCAAGTTCGCTGGAGAGTCACGATGGTAGTTGGGTTTCAGGAGTGAAGCCACAGGTGGAGCGAACCTACATTTGCTTTTCTGCCAGGAGAACAAAAAGACTGAAGTTCTACTGTGGCTTGACCTTGTTGAGGTCCTGAGTTTCAAACGGTGCAGATGGAAAGAACGGTTCTATCTTCTTTGACTCTGTTAACAGTTGCATACAGACGCTGCTTTTACATTAAGTGAGTTATAGTGAATACGGTGCTGAAGAAACCTCAAAACTGTTAGAGTTGGAAAAAAACAGAGGTCGACGTTGTTTGTTTTGCACATTTTAAACACACATAATGGAGAGGTAATTTTAAATCATTCATCCAGGCTTCAGACTCAAGACATGCTTGATTTTGTTATGTTCTTACTCTCATGTTGGGACATCAAGAGATGCCGAGATTGTTAGACAGTTAAATATTGGAATCCATTTCTCACCTCATTAAATCATCTTTGTTCATGAGGTGTGTAAAAAGATTTCAAAATGAGTGAAAAGGATTTTTGATGGTGCTTACACAGGCTGTGGTAGCACCACCCCTGCTCTTCCTCCCTCTTGAGTCGAATTCATCCAGAGTGCAGGACTGTCGGTCAGAGGACCCAGACTGTTGGGACAAGGTTTAAGAATTTACATTTATTGATAGAAAATGTACATCTCTATTTTTGTCTGATTTTCAGAACTCATTTTAGTTATCTGGGATTGATTTTAAGAAAAGAAAATCAAACTGAGCTTTTGTGCATTTAAAGTTGTTTAAATGTGTTGCTCATTGTTAACAACAGCTGTTATGCTAAAGAAACTGGCCTAAAATCTTTTTGGATTTCTGCTTTGTTCATGGTGGTTTTTTCTTAACACCCTTAAAATCGTCCGGCCTTTTTTATTTTTAAACTTCTGTTACTGTAAGTCAGTGGCTTTGTGAGGTGCGGGTATGCAGACTCATGCACGGAGCTAAAACTTATGTCAGCAGAATCGACCTGAAAAAAAGTTGAGCCATGACACGAACCATCTGTTTGGGTCTTCAGAAATGTAGGCGAAAACTTTGATTTCAGTCGAACACATTTGACCGGTAGTAAAGACGAATAAACCTACATATTCCAGAGGGTTTTATTTGAAAGACAAAGCGCATCACAAACAGACCGAGGGCAGAGTGACTGAGGACTGACTGATCTTTAGCTCCTTCAGGACGTGCTGCTGCTCAAATCTCTCAGTCAGACGAAGCCTCCAGCTCTCCACTTCGGAGCGCGTCTCTTCCTGCAGAGAGGCCGGGAAACTGAAGGAAAAGAGACACCATCTGTGACCTGAAGCGTCTGCCTGCCACCTCGCTGACGCTGTAGTCACCACCAGGGGAGTCATAGACAAGCAGTTTTCAAAGCTCTTGGTCTGATCAAACCAGTAGGTGACAGGGTAACCCAGTAAAAGTCCAAAGACGGTGCACAGGTTCCACTCCTCACATCTGGCCCCCACGCAAAGAGGTTCCTCGGCCTCCTGGTGGCGTTGCAGAAGCGGCAGCAGGTCCTGCGTCACACCCCTCAGTGCTTCTCTCTGCCGCCCAGAGACGGCGGGGCTACCCAGCCCGTGGCAGACGTCCATCACAGCCACGCTGTCCTCGCAAAGCACTCGCTCAAGATGGGATCTGGCTGTGCTGGTATTGATAACCAGACCGTTTCCGTTCAAATCAAGAGTGGCGAGGGAGCCAGACACAAGCCGCTCAGACCGCAAGGAGCTCAGGTACTGCTGGATCTGCGCCGCGCTGGCGCCGTTACTGTCGTACAGAACGGCAGGCTTCAACCCCACGTCAACGGCCGACACCTGAGCAGCGAGTTGGAGACACTGAGGAGTCGACAGGGATTTCCGCCCTACGCAAAGAAATTTTCGCGCCGCAGTTACAAAGAGCTCCTGCGCTGACATGGCAGGTTTGGAAAAAAAAAAAAAAAAACTAAATACAACAAGATTCGGTGTGGGTGAGCTTGTGGGTAAATAACAGCCACTCAATGAAACAGGTAGAATTTAAGTGTGAATATTTGTCTTTTTGTCAATAACAGGGATGAAAATTGCAACAAAAAAAAAAACCATTCATGTAAACGAGATGCTTTGAAAGTACAGGTAGTCACTTCAACTTTTCATTTGTATTTGTTTGTGTTCCTTGTTCTTCTTTGTTGGTCCAACATTCCTAAATGAGCAAAAACATTGTGTCAGTCTCACCAAAACATCTTCGTGGCAAAAACATCTGGATTTTATCAGCCTTTCTTGGACCTGATTGATCATCCCATTGACTTTGAGGTGAATCATCCTACTTTTGGCCAACATCAGGCGATAAATATCATCTCACCATCACCCTGGTGTTGGCTGTGATGAGTTGTGGTGGCGTTATGTCACAGGCTGAGGAGTCATCAGGTCAAAATCAGAGAGATTTCGTGCAACCCAAACACCAGCAGCAAACAGACCTAAGTTGACCAGAAGATTCCTAAAAAAAAAGGCAAAGAGCAAAGTCATTGAGACCATTCGAGATTACTGTGAGATGAACCCAAAAAGCGTTTGCTATAGTGGCATGAAGGAATATGACTTGTTTTTATCAATTCCCTTTCTTTTTTTAATCATTTCAACAGGTTGCATCTATGTCCCCTTATTCAGAAAGAGACGGTGAGCCACTTTGGTCAGCTCAAATGAACACAAGAAAAATCATAGCTGTCATCATTAAGACAGAAGTATATTCCTCTTCACAAAAGGAAAGCGTAAAAGTATGATACCTCGGCCTACCAAAGCAGGACATCTCCATATGATTCATATCACACGAGGTATTTGCTTATCGTGATATGGTGTCACGCTCGGCAGATGTGTAGTTCCTTGTGCATGTTTTACGCATCTGAGGTTATATAATATCACAGAACTCCTGTTGATATGAACGGGTTTCAAGTCATAAAAATGCATGCTTGCTGGATTATTTGTTTTTATCTGCCTTAATGTTTAAGATATCGACTTAGACAGACTTGAGACACCACAAGGACAAATTAACCCTCAGAAACGTGCTAGCGCTAGCTACACTTCAAATGACAAAACAAATACATTTTCCACATCATCTTGCCTTCTAAAGTCGTTTCTGTCTGTCGCAAAACGACAAGCTGAGCTGATCCACTCCATCATCCCGGACGAAGGGTCCTTTTTTATTCCGCTCATCTTTCTTATGCACGATGTGGTGATAGCAACGGGGAGCAAAAGAGCACACACGGACAGAAGAGGAAAGGGGAAGAGTTTAGATGTTGCACAAGTAAGGCACGCGATAAAGCTCAAACTTCAGGCATCTCCGCTCACTTAAATATTACATGACCAAAGATGTCTGCGACTAGGTATCGACGGTTCTTGAAGTTGTGCGAAGAATGGCCCCGAGACGAGACGAAGAAGGGCCGAGATTTGGGCACATTTCTCCGGCAAAGAGTCGCCTCCGCGTTTCGTGAGGGTGAAAACACGCAGGTAGAGGCCCACATTGCTCTCCATCTGTGCTGGACTAAGCCATGCTAAGGAGATAACAGCGAATCCGTGCTAGCTGTCGACCTTGGAGTGTTTTGTTTGTAATTGGGAAGTCTTTTTTTCATGTAGACCGTGTATGCTTATAAATCATGTGGCCTCTTTAATGTAATTGTAAAACCTGAATGTAGCACCTCGAGAAGCATTGGTGATAAACTGGGCTATTAATAAATTGAGTACTTGTTCCTTCTATATAATAATACTCCAATGTGTACGTGCTTAGGATAGAGAAAAGATACATTTTCTGAATTGGATATTATGATACAATGTCACTATCTGACAAATGGCTCTGACTACTGAGCATTAAAAAAGTGAATTTCTTTTAACAACACAGTATCATTGGAATTAAAGATGGATCAGAGGAAAATAACTCGCATTAAAGCACAATTATTACTGTTACCACTCAGCTAACTGTGATTTTTGCAAGATTTTGTATTTAAATGTTTAAAGATGTGCATACTTTGTGAGAAAGGAGATTGTGTGTGTGCATGTATCAGACACAATGCATGTTGTATATACTAGGACAGTCAACAGAGTATACTGTTTGGGTTTGATAAGTTCTTCATGTTTCCCTCCAGATTGCAGATCAAGAGAAATGTGACCAGATGTATGAAAGTTTGGCTCGTATTAATGGCAACATATACAGACAACGAGTAAGTAAGCATTCAGAAATGCTGGTGACTCATTAACTGCCTGGACCTGTATTTTGCATTTCTAGTGTGCAGCGCCCTCCTATTTCCTGCTGTTAGGTGAAAATGTGTCAGCTGAGTCGGCTACTCTTATGTCATGATAATAAAAGGTTATATTTAGGGCAAAGGTCTCATTTGTTTTGTCCTAGCAAAGCACACCAGGTTAATGATTGAGGATTGTTCATCTGTAAATTTGAACTATAAAAGAGCACAAACATTCAGATGAGACACCGATCAACAGATGGTCTTATCACCTTCTGAATTGGTTGCGTACCTTGGTTACGAGAAGAGAAAACGTTCTATGGAAATTGTACAATCTGGTCATTTTAGTCCAAGTTTAAACGTTCACTGATCTTTCCTTAGATTTCTGATTTCTTTTGAAAAATATCTCCTATGAAAAATGTCTTCAATATATTTCCATGGAAAAACCCATAAAATGTATCTCCCTTTTTTTTGTTCAGTTTCCACGTGTGAGAGACACGAGCTTTACGGGTGTCACAGTAGAGGAGTGTAGAGTACTTTTGTCAGGTAAGGATTCAGGGTGCCATGTGGATGTTTATGAAGCCAAACAGAAAACATACCAGGAAATCACTTTATTTCACCTCCTTTATTTTCTTTTACAGGCAGCATGCAACAGAGCATGGACGAGGAAAAAAAGGGTCTTTGGAAGACGATAATGGATAGATTCTCTTCCAAATCGCCAGAGGACGTTCCAGAAAAAGCTCATGAAAAATAACTTATTTACTGGTTTGTGTGTGTCTTGTTGCTTGTATAGAAATAAATAGTGTTGTCTTTACGGTTCAGTGTTGCTTCAGTTTTATTTATTATTAAAAACTGCAGGTTTTACATTTACTTCCAAGAGCTTTAAACAAGTTCAGTTAAACTGATGTATCTTTAGCCAAGTGTTTTTCTCTTTGTATTCCGTTTTGTGGATGAACTGTGTGACGGACCGACCACCTGGATGACCGTGACCCTCAGCCAATTACAGAATGAGCCAAAGCTAGAGGTGGAGACGGGCTGGTTGGTGTCACGTTTAAACTTATGGGCCTAGAGCAGGGTGCCCAAAGTCGGTCCTTGACGGCTGCTAGGGTTTAGAAGTTTCCCTTCCTCAATGTTCCTGACTATCAGGCTCTTGCAGATCTCTTCAACTGATCCACATCACCAGAATCAGATATGGCCTGGAGGGTGCACATGTAACATGTCCCATCAATAAAAAGTTTCATGAGAAGAAGGCATTAAACTGCCATTGATCTTGAGAAGTTAATTGATCATTTAGAAACTGACCCTGATATTTTTTAAAAGAGCAATATTCTGTTTACTAAATGAGCGAGTCACAGACATGCAGTGGCTGTGGTTAAAAGCTTTATTTCTCCAGTGCAACAGTGATATTGATCTACTTCATTTTATTCTTCTACATGTCTGATAAGACTGATGAATGGTAACTCAGTACAGCAAATAACTTTGTTCGATGGAAAATCCCATTTGGGATTAATAGAAAAAGTACATAAAAAGACTTCACTTCTCATTCACTTAAAAACATTAGCGTAGGCGTTTTTATTGCATTTTTGCATAAAGCGTGGCTATGATGATGTCTAGTCTTACGTCATTGAAAATGAATTACAGCTTAGAGAGTGAAGAATCCATTACATCTTGTTAATCAAACTGGATTATTCAGAAACAGCACCTGGGAAGGTTTTTAATGCAGCTAAGCCACAGGCTGAGAAGCAGGGCTATCTGCACAATGGGACAACATCTCTGTCCCACCTTGTGCAGACACAGACAAGCTGCTTTTGTAAATCAACCATGTCATTTCAAACGGACCAATAAATCGAAAAGCTTAAATGTAACACTCAACCTAAATTTATGAACACGGATTAAAGGTGACCGATAACAACAGAAGAGCTTGAAGCACATGGCTACTCTTCTTTTCCCTCAGGGTTGTCCCTCCATATGACGTAGTTGAGGGAGGTGGCAAGGCACAGCCAGGAGAGATAGGGCGCCAAGAGCAGCGTGGCGGTGCGGCTGATTGAGTACCACGACAACATGGTGGCTCCGACAGTCCCAGTGAGAAGTACAATCTCGATTAGCGCCTAAATTTGATGCAAAAAAACAAAAACAAAACTCACATGATCAATCATGTCAGACACTGGGCAGAGATACTCCCAGTATTCCTCCATAAAATAACAATGCACCAAACTCACCCATTTCAGCTTGTGTGCACCAAAGAAAATGGGAGTCCAGGCCCAGTTTAAAGCAAGCTGCAGACCATAGAGTCCCAGTGGAACCACCGCGTCCTCAGTGAAACCTCCAAGCTCCTTATACACCAGGTAGGAGCCATACCTGTGAGAAATGAGTCAAAGCAAGAACGCTCGGATGAGGAGGGGGCCCCACTGTGACGACAGCACTGTGCCACGGTCACACCTACCCCATGCCGGTGTACAGGCACGTCCACACCACAGGGAACGCTGCGTTTGGCGGGCGCCACGATGGCTTCTTCAGAGTTGGGTACCACTCCTTTACTTGCTTGCGTGTGATGAACCCACCATAGATGCCCCCCACGTGCGGCAGGGCGGTCATCCCAATCATGGGCAGCCACATGGTCTGAGATAAGAGCAGGACATGCCACACTGGTTTGACCTTTGAAGCAACTCTGAGCCACACTGGAAGAATTTGAATATCGAGACGAAGATGGTTCAAAAAGCCCGACAACTTGCTGCTAATCTTTGTTCTGCTGAAAGGAACTTTGACTCAACATGTTGTAAAATGGTCTTTTATGAATTTTTCAGATCAGGAAGTTCTAAGTTTTAGAGCATACACAGTAAATGACTGATTTAGTGGCAACTGAGCATGCCAAAGCATCAGATTTTCCAACTTCCAAAGGCTACAAACAATCTAAATAAGGAAAATTTAAATGCAAAAAGGTTATTACAGCAGATCCTCTGCAGGGCTCTTCTGTGGCGCTGTTCTTGATCAGATGTTGAAGTGTAAGGCTGGTGATTCAAATGATTTCTTGGAAGTGTTGTGACTCAAAATTATCACACACACACACATACAAACTGTAATTTACAAGAAATCTTGCGCTTTGTGAAATCGGTGGCTCCTCAAGTGACTGGAGGGGGGGGGGGAAGGCTGATTACCTAAGTCACATGATCCAGATGCCTATTGGTCCACATTCAATTAGAAAAAAAATAAGCCTAAAAAGTTAAACTTAACACCTAACTCAACCACAACCAGAGCCTGTTCTTCTAAAAAGCAGAGGGTGTGCAGGAGTGATAACTTTAAGGGGAAAATAACCTTTAACTGAACAAAGCTATTCCTGTTATCTTTTTTCTGATCCGGTAAATGGGATAGGGATGACGACAGAAGGTATGCATGCGATGCCTTGACATAATTTCCGTGGGACGGTTTCACGCAAACACCAGAAAAAAAAGGAAGCTTTTGTGAAAACCCATCTCAAAATGATGATACAAAGAGGCTATTTCCTCAGTTAGGTCAAACTTGAGAGCCACGCTGCATGCTTTGACACAACCAAATCCTCATGTTTAGCTAGCTTGTTTTTCCCTTTGCTTTGTTGCGTGAACACTTTCTGTGGGAGCACCGACACCATCCGGATCAAACTTTGGCACAGGGTCACGCCAAAAAAAAGGGAAAATTATAATGAAAATGCTATCACGTGATCCTCGGGTCATGCCATGTCTCGAACTCGTGAACAGCACTTACCGTCTCCTCTTTCCGCTGTCTTCTCGTCTACAAAAACAAAAAGGGATGTTTGTTTTAATCCAAGAGGTCGCTACGCACACGCAGGGAATTCCTCTGTCATGGTGGCTTTTGGTGATATAGCTGGGCGGACGGGCACGGCTGTCTTATCGGGGCCGTCACTCCCCTGACCCTCCCAAACGCAGAGCCAAACAAAGTGACGTTCCCGCGCGGGGGCACGCGATTGGCCGCGAGGACAAAACAGTAGCACCCGACGGTTGGTGCTAAAATGAATAGATATTACAGCACAGATCCAGTCCAGAGTTCACCTATTACAGAGGATAAGCGTCCGAGCACTTCCTGCTCGTCTGGATATTCGACACTTCCACTTAACCGGAAATGTGCAAACAGCCAAGATGATGAAACTCCCAAGATAATTCCCCTTTCTAAGCTCTAAGGGGGTTGAAATATACAAATTGGTCATTATCAGCACAATATTCAAATGCCAGCATGACTATGGGTCGTAACACGTAAAACCAAACCATTAGCATCATTACACATTACAACTAACACAGTCTTTAGTGGATGTTAAACTTCGTGGCTTGAGTAAATCATCGAGTGAACAGCTGTATCTTCACACAGGAACACCATAACATTAATCAGTTAACATCTAATGATACATCAGAAAAAAGGCTGAGTTGATCCAGTTTCCAGAAAAAACAGAAAGCTGAAAAGACTGCTCATTATATATGATAATATCTGATTAGTTTCGCCTTGCACAATCAGCTAAAAACGTTTTTACTTCATGTAAAAATAACTCAACTTACAACTTACATGCAAGTGATCTGTATTGCTTTATATTTTGTTTTTGACGAGTGAAAGATGAATGCACTCTAAACCACTTCATGCTTTTGAAAGGGTCTGGGGCTTTCCACTTCCTGTCAGTTTTTATTTTGACATGGGCTACTTTCTCACTCACTTTATTTCCTCTCCTGGTATCTAAAAGCGATTGTGGTATTGCATGAAAAGGTACCTTACTCAATGGACAAACCACTCAGCGAAGAGAAACCGTTTTAATGAGCATCTTCTGGCATGTAGCAAAAGGCACTCACTGGAGCAGTGAGGGATCACTGGGTGTAGAATTGTATGGGAAAAAGCAGGTTATCATGCAAAGAAAAGCTTTGGAATGTCTTTCAAGAAGTTTGAAAAATTACTCCTTATAATGACTAAAATAAATTACATAAAAGCTTCTATAAAAGCGTTCAGTAGTCTAGCTTGATAAAAATGCAGGGTACCGGTTTGAAAGACACAGATTTCCATCTGCTCCACTTTTATCAAAGTGTGGTGTTGCTCCATATGACACAGTTGAGGCAGGTGGTGCAGCACAGCCAGGACAGATAGGAGGCCAGGAGCAGCATGGCCACGCAGCTCAGTGGATACCAAGACACCAAAGTGGCTCCAACAGTCCCAGTCAGAATGACTAGACGGAAAAGAGCTTCAGTGAATAATGTTAAATACTTAGTAGTACATGTAACCCACTACTGGGTATGTACACGTCAATGTTGGACCAGATTCA